GCATCTGGGTGGCTCAGCAGTTGAGCATCTGCCTTTGGCTCAAGTTGTTATCCTGGAGTCCTGGGATCAAGTCCCACATTGGGCTCCCAGCACGGAGCCTGCTTCTTCCTCTGCCTATGTCTCTGCCTCTCTTTCTGTGTCTCTCATGAATGAATGAATAAAATCTTAATTTTTTCTTCTCAGAGCACCTGGCTGGCTCATTTGGTGGAGCATGGGCTTCTTGGTCTCTGGGTTGTGGATTCAAGCCCTATGTTAGATGTAAAGATTACTTAAAATCTTTAGGGGCATCTGGGTGGCTCAGTGGTTGAGCATCTGCCTTTGGCTCAAGTTGTGACCTGGGGCCCTGGGATCAAGTCCCACATTTGGCTCCCAGCAAGGAGCCTGCTTCTCCCTCTGCCTAGGTCTCTGCCTCTCTTTCTGTGTCTCTCATGAATTTTTTTAAAAAGTGATCTTGATTAGACATCATAGGGCACACTTAATGAGTGATATTCCTATGAAGAGAAAAAGCATCAGTAACAAAAGTGTGCACCCAGGACCAGAGTCCTGTTTGGAATATCCAGGAAAAGCCACCAGAAGCAAACTCATTGGTCCCAGAGGTCAGACTATATTGTTCACTCAACAAATGTTTTGGTTGCTTATGCAGATGCACTCACATGCGTACAACACACATGCTTGTGTGCACATGCACACATCAGAAAGGTTTCTAGGAAATGTGAATGTGGCAGATATTACCCCCAGTTGCACATCTGGCCATCTGGCTCTCTCACATGGCAGGATGATGTCTAATGCCAGGTGATGACAGACAATGGTTTTCTGGAACTCAGAATTGGCAAAAGACTACACTAGTGTTTTAGTGACATTGTCAGCAGCTCAGATGCTTCATGAATGAACACATGGAAAACTCAGGCAGTGGGATCAATTTTTCCAATGTCCTCCAGACTGTTTCTCTAGAAATTGCCATAGCATAAAACCTATCCCCAGTGCAGGTAAGCACATCTTGATTCCAAGTTTTTCAGCTTCTTCACGCAATTCCTTTCATCACCACATGAGAACAGGTGTTTTGCAGTTAACCCCAACCACTGAGTTCAAGAGTGAGAGTTTGATTCCTGACGTGAAAAGGCAATAAATTGTTCCAGCTTAATCCAATTGTACAGCAAGAAAACAAGAAAGAGCTGGTCAAGATATCATGGCCTTTTATAATTTTCTGAGGGAGAAAAACACTAAATATTAGACCCACAAATAAATTATGAGTCACTCAGGCTCTCCAGGGCCTTCTGAATTCTTCTGTCAGTATAGGAAGCTTTAATTTTAATTTATAACAAGTTCTACTTATTTTTTCTGAGGGTTGAAGATGATAAGGCATGATTTTTGGCAAAATTGCCATTCCTAATTAAAGTCCCAATCAAAAGAGCACCTTAGTCTCTAGAAAGGCAGATACGGTTTCCCAATTTTAGCCCTATCTGGTGCTTGCTTCGGATAGGGCTAAAGCACCAGATAGGGCTTCCCAAATAGGAAAGACAAACTACAGTTGTTTCTAGTCACAGGAAATGCTGTTGCTTTCTGGCAAGGAAAAGCATCTAGTCCTCCGTAGAAAAGGCTGACAGCACGTATTCAAATCCTTGAGATTTAGGGAGCTGTATAGAGTCCCTGAGATGGTGGTTCCTTTTCATGTCCCACTTACACTGTTTTCCCAAGAATGATTAAGCTAGCAGGTGGGACATATACCAGCGCTACCCTCATTAATCAGTAAAAACTTCTCTACCAGTGTTGTCTTAGAATAGTTTGTAAGTTTTGGGGGGCACTGGGCTGGCTGAGTCAGTGGAGCATGTGACTCTTGACCTTGAAGTTGTGAGTTGAAGCTCCATGTTAGGTATAGACATTACTTAAAAATAAAGTCTGTAAAAAAAAGAATAACTCTGGGGGTACCTGGGTGGCTCAGTGGTTGAGCATCTGCCTTTGGCTCAGGTTGTGATCCTGGGGTCCTGGGATCAAGTCCTGCATTGGGATCCCTGTGGGGAGCCTGCTTCTCCCTCTGCCTGTGTCTCTGCCTGTGTTTCTGCCTTTCTCATGAATAAATAAATAAAATCTTTTTAAAAAATAATTTATAGGTTTTCTTTACTGTGGGTCAAATTTTCCTTCAAGCTCCATTTCAGACAGTCCAGAAACACCAGTTAGCCATCGTAACTGTCTCTATAACACATCAGATTTCTCTCAGGATATTTTTTCAGAACCTAGTTCTTTTTTTTTTAAGATTTTATTTATTTATTATGAGAGACACAGAGACAGAGGCAGAGACATAGGAAGAAGGGAGGAGAAGCAGGCTCCATGCAGAGAGCCCGATGTGGGACTCAATCCTGGGACTCCAGGATCACACCATGGGCCAAAGGCAGATGCTCAACTCCTGAGCTACCCAGGCATCCCCAGAATATAGTTCTTATGATGCCAATTTGCTCAAGGTTCAAAAGAAGGGTTTTTTTTTTTGAAGATTCTATTTATTTATTCATGAGAGATACAGAGACAGAGTGAGGCAGAAATGCAGGCAGAGGGAGAAGCAGGCTCCATGCAGGGAGCCTGATGTGGGACTTGATCCTGGGGCTCCAGGATCATGCCCTGGGCGGAAGGCAGGCACTAAACTGCTGAACCACCCAGGGATCCCCTCAAAAGAAGTTTTAAAAGATAATTTGTAAAAAACCACCTAGCTCCTGGCTTACATATACACACACACATACATATACATATATATGTAAATAAATATGTGTGTATATATGTGTACATATATAGATACGAACACATGTTAAAGATTTTATTTAACTCATAATGAGAGAACAAGGCAGATTTTATAACTGAATCAAAGCAAAAATAGAAATTGGCTTTTTTCCCTCCCATAGTGCAGGGGAAGAAAGGGAGTCAACTGAACCTCTGTGCAACAGAATATCCTTGCAAATATAGAGAAATAATTATTTTTGCCCTACTATTATTTATCAACAGTTCATTGAGTTATAAAATAACCCCCACTTAATCAAAATCAGATCACCCTAAAGATTGTGATCTACCTAGACCAGGAACTATTGACACTACTGGTAATTATTGACCTTAGGGCACTATTGACATTTTGGGCTAGATAATTTTTTGTTGTGGCTGTCCTATGCATTGTAGGATATTCAGCAGAATCCTTGGCCTCTACCTACTAATTGCCAATAACACGTCTCACCAGTTTCAGCCACTAAAAATGTCTCCACACATTTCATTGCCAAAATTCCCCTCAGGAGCAAAATCACCCCAGTTGAGAATCACTGCTCTGGACAATGCAGTTTCCACTGACTCACAAATTTCCCCCGATAGTCTCTTCTGTATTGGTCAAAAGATAATCTCAAAGAAAGCTTACTCCTGACCACAATATAAACCTGGTCAAAACCTATAACAGAAAGGAAGAAAAAGAAAAAGATTACAAATTAATGAAACTTACAATTAACTTACAAACTAATGAAATAGAGAATAGTCATGGCTTGAAACTGACCCAAGCTTCATGGTTTAACAGATAACTGGAGGTCAGAGGCTTTGTTCAGCTGATGGAGTGCCTGAAGACCCAAGTCAGAGCAGGCTTGGGGCTTTTACAGAACAAAAAGAAGGATACATGTCCTTGTTCGGCTCAAGTGAAGGATTTCATCTTTAACAGCTGCAAAGCCTGTGGTTGGAATAGCAAAACTGTTCCGCATTTGTGTGCCTCTAGGCTGAGGCCATGGGTACCATTCCACCCCCACAATTGTCTGAACACTTCTTTCAAGACCTATGTTTGCAAGCCTTACAGTTTGTTGGTTGGTTAAGATTCCAGGACAGAAAAAGACACCAAAAACACTTTAGATAGGTCATTGCCAAGGGCTCCAGGGGAGTGGAGAATGAGGATTACTGTTTAATGAGTATAAGAGTTCCAGTCTTACAAGGTGAAAACAGTTGCTCAGGTGGATGATGATGATGGCTGAACACAATGCAAATGTATTTAATACCACTGAGCTGTGCACTTAAAAATGTTTGAGATGATAAGTTTGATGTTATGTGTCCTGTACTACAATCAATGAAAAAAACTAAGGATAGCCACCTTCTTAATGATAGGCCTTGGTAAAAACAAAACAAAACAAAAATAAAACTATGAAGAGAGTGATGGAATGTTGTCAAAAACAAAAACAAAAAACAACCAGTATGGATAAACCTTGAAAACATGCTAAGTGAAAGAAGCCAGACGCAAAAGGCCACATATTGTATAATTCCATTGGCATAAGATATCCACAGTAGGCAGATCTATAGAGAGGAGGGCAGGGATCCCTGGGTGGCGCAGCGGTTTAGCGCCTGCCTTTGGCCCAGGGCGCGATCCTGGAGACCCGGGATCGAGTCCCACGTCGGGCTCCCAGTGCATGGAGCCTGTTTCTCCCTCTGCCTGTGTCTCTGCCTCTCTCTCTCTCTGTGGACTATCATAAAAAAAAAAAAATTTATAGAGAGGAGGGCAAATGGGTAATTGCCCAGGGCTGGAGAGAGGGGTGCAGGGTTTCTCTTTGGGATGATTAGAAAGTTCTGGAACTAGATGGTGGTGGTGTGGTTGCACAAAGGCACTTGTGAATGTACTTAGTGCTACTGAACTGTGCATTTTAAAATGCTTGGGTAGCGGGGTGGAGGCATCTGGCTGGCTCAGTAGGAGGAGCATGCTATCTTGAACTCAGGATCATAGGTTTGAGCCCCACATTGAGTATGGAGACTATGTAAATAAATAAATAAATAAATAAATAAATAAATAAATAAGCAAACAAACTTAAAAAAATAAAATGCTTGAACTTGTAAGTTTTATGTTCTTTTACCATAATTTTACCACAACTTTTAAAAAGGGAAGGAAAGAAAAAGGAGGCCAATGGTGAAAGGCAGGGGAACCTGAGGACCCTCTATAGCACACCTGCTTTAATACCTCTTCTCAGGGCTAATAATCTCTCCATTCTTCTTTCTTTTTGTGTCAGGTGGCACCCAAAGATGCTGGAATCTTCACGGCAAATGCCGCCAGAAATGCTCCAGGAGAGAAAGGACCTATGTTTACTGCACAAATAATAAACTGTGCTGTGTGAAGCCCAAGTTCCAGCCGAGAGAAAATCTATGGCCATTTTAAGTTCTTGGAAGCCAGAAGCCATGAAAATGCAGATGTAGGGAGATGCCCTGAGTCTAGCCCCAGTGGATTCCTAAATTCTATCAATAAACACGTGTGGCTGATCTCTGTGTTTGCCTGCTAGTCTACCTCCGCAGTTCTCAGGAAGTCCCCTTTCGGGTGAAGTCAAAATATTTTCATCATAATAATAAGATAGTATTTGCCTTTTTCAATCTCACTGTCTCAGAAGTGTGCAGTGAAGTCTTCTGGAATCTATGAGACATATGGTGATGTCATTGTCCTGGCAGCTAATGAAAAGTGTGTTTATACATCCTTGTGTTTCCAGAATTTTTTGAAGTAGCAGGCTAAAAGCAGAGGGTGTTCATTTTCAGAGATTCACTCCGCTTGTTCTCAGTAATTGTATCGTACTCTTACTAGCCATCACTAGTTACGTGATTAATCCCATAACCTCAATGATCAGCTATTAATAAATCATTACTTTGAAATCCCAAAGTTTTCCTTGTACCTGTGTATGAACCCAGGGAGAACCAAGAACACTTTGTTATCTTGGTTTGTAGAGGCATATTAACAACCGGTACCAACTTGCTAACAGAGGAAAGCCTACACTCTCCCTGAGTGAAAACAACACCTACTCTACTCTCTGCAGTTTTTTTTTTTTTGCAGTTTTTTTAAATACAGTTTCTAACACACAATTAAAACATATTAAAAGACATTCACAGAGGAAGGAAACTAGGAACCATAACCAAGAATGAAAAGTCAACAGCAGCAAATCCAAACATGGCACAGGTGTTGGAATTCACAGACAACTTTAAAATAACTATTATAAATATGTTAAAGAAATTAGAAGGAAAGATTGAAAGGTTGAATAATTTAAACCAATACATAGAAAAATACTGTATCAGTTTTCTATTACTGCATGATAAACCACTCCAAAACTTAGTGGATTAAAATAACAACTATTCATTAATTCTCTGATTTTTGTGTATTAATTGAGTGGTTCTTCTGATATTCTCACCTGGGGTCACCCTCGTGACTGCATCTCTGTCCACGTGACCTCTTGGTTTCAAGGACATTAACTTTGGTTTCTTACATAGATACTTAGGTCTAAGAGGGTAAGCCCCAATAAGGTGCCTTTTCAAACTTCTGTTATGCTTTCTTAAATACCATTGGCCAAAGCAATATTTTTTCAATTTAAATTCTGGTTAGTTAAAATACAGCGCATAGTAGAATTCAGTGATCCATCACTTAGATACAACACCCAGTGCTCATCACAAGTGCCCTCTTTAATGCCCATCCCCCATCTAGCCCATCCCCCACCTACAGCCCCTCCATCAACCCTGTTTGTTCTCTATCATTAAGAGTCTCTTATGGTTTGTTTCCCTCTCTCTTTTTTAAAGCATAGCATAGTCAAACAGCTAACAACCAGAAGAAAACATATTTCCCAATACCTTTGAATATTTCAAACAATACATACTCAATAATTTTATGGAAAAAATTAGAAGCCTTTATTGAAAGACAATATAGAAAGCCTAAATTTATAGAGACATACTGTGCTTATAAATCAGAAGACTCAATGCCTTTTTTTTTTAAGATTCTATTTATTTATCCATGAGAGACACAGAGGGAGAGGCAGAGACATAAGCAGAGAGAGAAACAGGCTCCATGCAGGGAGCCCAATGTGGGACTCGATCCTGTGACTCCAGGATCACACCCTAGGCCAAAAACAGACACTCACCAGCTGAGCCACCCAGGCGTCCCGACTCAATGTCTTAAAAGACATCAATTCTATAGGAATTGTTTTCCAGATTCAGTGATAATTAAATCAAAATCTTAACAAAACTTTTTCCAAGACTTGATCAAAATGTTCACTTATTAACAAGTGTTTTGTTAGGGGCATGGACATAAATGATAAAACGAGCAGTAAAACACAAGTTGAGGATAATGGTTAACACTTAAGAATATAGGAATTGGCAGGGATAATGGTGATAGTCCATTCTTTTATCTGGATGTAGGTATAGAGATGTTTGTTGTCTTATTATTTTTATACCTTTATAAATATTCTTTTGACTTCTCAATCTATAATAAAAATCAAGTTTCTCAAAGAGAGAGAAAATCCATGAACATTAAGAGGTGCCTGGGTGGCTCAGTTAGTTAAGTGTTTGCCTTCTGCTCAGGTCATGATCCCAGGTTTGGAGATTGGGCCCTGCATCAAGCTCCCTGCTCAGCAAGGAGCCTGCTTCTCCCTTTCCCTCTGCCTACCACTCTCTCCACTTGTGTGTTCTCTCTCTCTTTTTTTTTTTTTTGCTCTCTCTTTTTAAATAAATTTTTAAAATCTTTTTAAAAATCCATAAACATTGTCTTAAAATCTTTAAACCCAGAGGAAAAGCAAAAGGAAAAGATAAACCAGTCATGAAAAGCCAGAGAAGAAAATATGAGAAAATTACATGTGGGAAAGTAAAATAGTGCAACCACTTTGAAAACACTAGACAGTTTCTCACAAAGTGTAATGTACCATATGATCCAAACACATCTAGGTACCTACCCAAGAGAAATGAAAGCATATGTCCACACAAAGACTCATATATAATTGCTCATGGTAGCTTTATTTGTAAAAACCCAAAACTGGAAACACTCTAAATGTCCATCAACAGATGAATGGATAAACAAGTTGTGGTATATCCATACAATGGAATACTACTCAGCAATAGTGCTGAATGAAATTCCACAATGCTGAATGAAATAAATCAGACAAATCATGAGAATCTTCTTGGTGCAAAAATGTCTGTACAGTCTGATCTCCATGCATCCTCCAATTTTGACACATGGCATTCTGGGGCCCTAGATACTAGAGTCAACTCAGAAACAGCATTGCCTTTCCCAAATATAGAATCATCCTGGTCAATGGCCCCAGGTGCCTTGGCCTAAAGAAAGATTTTCATTATGTACTTTTGGCATTGGTACAGAGTTCTTCCTCAAAGGGACACAACTTTCACTTCAGGCAAGGGCTTTGGGGTCTATGAATTAAATGAGAAGCCTTGGTTCTCCACAGAGGCATCTCAACAAAGGATTTTTTCCCCAGGGCAGGAATTTATCTGTTTTGTCTCCTGCCAAATCCTCAGTGGTTAGAATAATGCCTGGCACATAGTCATTCATCAATAACTATTAGTTGAATTAATGGAAAACAGAAAAAGTAGGGTATTGATGCCTGTAAAGTGAAGGTAGGCATAGTAAGCTGAGTATAGTTGGGATGGCAGTGGAAACCATGAGGCATGCCTAATCAAGGAAGCCTAAGCCTCAACAGGCTCACTGGACTGTTGGTTCAAATAAGGAAGAAATGGAGCAAAATTAATGGACATGCACATAATGCTTGAAATATATCATTGAAAATCATATATAGAGGCACCTGGGTGGCACAGTTAGTTGAGTGTCTGCCTTCGTCTCAGGTCATGATCTCAGGGTCCTGAGATGGAGCCCCACTTGGGCTTCCTGCTCAGTGGAGAGTTTGCTTCTACCTCTTTCTCTGCTCCTCCCCTTCCTCATGTGTTCTCTCTCACTCTCTCAAATGAATAAATAAAATCTTAAAAAAAAAAGAAAGTCTTAATTAAATGTCTATGAAACTAAAGATTTTTTTACCATGTCTTAGATCTACTGAACCATAATTCCCATAAAACATAGATTCATTTGTTCATTTAGTCATATAACAAGTATTTGTGGATACCTGTTATTTGCCAGGCGCCAGGTGGGCCTCCAGTTATACAGTAGTAAATAAAACAAACATGCACTTTGTCAACCTGGAGCCTACAACCTGTGGAGGAAAAAATCATTAAAGAAAGAAATTCATAATTATATATGCAGTAGGGTTATGAAGAGTGTAGCGATTGAGATTAGGAGTGAGGGCTCATGAAGAAGGTGGACCTCATATGAGCTGTCACAGTAACTCTCTGAGGGGGTGGCATTTAACCTGGGATTTGCAGGGTGAGAAGTCATGCTTGCAGAGAGTTGGGAGTGAGTTTGCAGAAGAAGATTCCAAGTAGAACAGCATATACATAGGCCTTTGAAGAGGCAAGTGGCTTGTTCCAGAGACTGAAAGAATGGCCATGTGGCTAAAGCCTGGTGTATAAGAGAAGAGAGATACAAGAGGAGATTTGAGAGGCAGACAGTGTGATAGGCATGCAGTATTGAGATGCTTGTATTTTTTTTAAGATTTATTTATTTATTTATTTATTTATTTATTTATTTATTTATTTGAGAAAGAGAGAGGGAAGTCGAGGGGAGGGTCAGAGAGACAGGTAGAGAAAGAATCCTCAAGCAGACTCCCTGCTGAGCGCAGAGTCCCAAGCTAGGCCAGGCAGGCTAGACATAGGGCTCCATCCCAGGACCCTAAGATCATGACCTGAGCAGAACCAAGAGTCAGCCAGTGAATCAACTGAGCTCCTTGATGTTTGTATTTAAAACACAAGTTCTGGAACAATTTATGTATTAAAGTGAAGGAGTCTGCCTTTTCCCCATTTTTACTTATGGCTTCTACTTCCTCACATTATGCTTTATTCTACCCCTGCTCCCACCACCCACCTCTGCTGCTCTTCAACCTAAACTTTTTTTTTTTAAGATTTTATTTATTGATTTGAGAGAAAGAGAGAGCATGAGTTGGGGAAGGGGCAGAGGGAGAGGGAGAAGCAGACTCCCCGCTGAGCAGAGAGCCCCCTACTGGGCTGAATCCCAGCACCTGGAGATCATGACCTGAACTGAAGGCTGACGGCTTAAGCAACGAGCCACCCAGGCACCCCCAACTTGACTCTTACTAAGGCAGCCTTTCAGCTTCCACTCCAATTATAAACTTCTTATTCTCTGTATTTCCCAATTCTTGGAACAGTATCTGATGAATGCAGTTCATTTTGTACCCACCCACCTACCTCATAGGTCGCTGGTCAGCCTATAGGAATAGGTTGGCTTGAGAGGTGCCCACCTCTTGTCCAATCAATTGTGTCTGGGTCATGGGGGAG